TGATACCTGGTAAGCTCATGTGAGTAAAGACTGCTTATTGCTTTCTGTGTGGCCTTCAAAATGTTTTTATCCTACTAAAATATGCCATACTATGTGCAAGTCATTGCCTCTGTATGAGAGAGCAGCATCATAGCCACTGAACTGAATTCATGCCCCGTGGGAATAATCACAATTCAGCAAAATGGGCAGAAAGGAAAAGCCAGAGTTCTAAGTGTGCACCCTAAAAGAGGCCATGAAAGAGTCAGAATCACAACCTTAGAACCAGGACAGCTATCCGATGACAGCAGTCTAGGAGGCATGATGGGAATCCTCTACTTTCATGAGATTTAGGAAAGCAAGTGGACATGAGAGCAACATGTAGACGGAGACAGTGCAGGGCCTTGGAGCCACGTTAATAAGTGAGGACAACTGTGTTCCCACTCTGGTCAGTGACTAATTGTGGGTACATCTTCCCTAGCTTCAAGCCACTCAAACCTGCTGCCAGAAAATAAGCCCTTCCTACCCACTTACACTTTACCTGCTCTGAACTGGAAATGAGGCAGCAAGGGCCCTTCTAGGGTAGTCCAAGGACAGTAGAAGCAGATCTCACACAGAGAGTGAGAGATGTTCCCAGAATGTCCTTACCACTACGTTTCTTCTGAAAAGCAAGGATATCCTGAGGTTCATTTAATGTTTGTAAAATGCTTGGAGAGCCCCACAGAGATGCACTGCATAGAAATGCAAAATATATTTTGACTTATTTGGTTGGCACCTTGGGCTGAGCTTTTCAAAGCTGAGTCAAAAGGCCAACTTCCATTAAAATGAATGGGATTTAGAGGGTTCCAAATCTTTTATGACAACTTGTAACATGCCTATCTACCTATTTTTGCAAATCTCAACCATAGTTTGGAAGCTCAGCCAAAGAACATAAGAGTATAAAAAGTGCCATGCTTGGTCAGCCCAATGGTCCATCTAGCTCAGTATCTTGTCCTGAACAGTGGCAGAGGTTGATGCTATAGAGGGAGAGTTTTGAACTGGTTAGACCCATTTCATTGCCACTTTCAGCAACTTCATTGGTGTCAAAGGTCATGTGACATCACTTGCTGATGTGATACCGCTTTCTGTGAGGTCTTTGAATGTAGCTTGCTGGCCCACTGGGTGATAAAAAGTTCATGATCCGGCCCCACATTCAAAAAGGTTGGACACCCCTGTCTTAGATAGTTGCTGCTTTATAGAAGTCTAGAATTTGTCAGAATAACAAGCTCAGAGGTTTTGTAGGTGATTGGGGAGGGTGGGGGAGGAAGAAAAAAAACAACCTATGGACAGATTGTTGTTTGCTCTGAGTATAAGCTTTGGAGGTAGAGTCTGGATTGTATTTTGATATGCTAGAACTGATAACTGGTGTTCTTTCATGTAGTCTTTTTAAGCGTTACAGTGTATAGCAAATGACATGATCAAATGAAAGCAAAAGCTGATGAATGCTTAAATCACTGAAATTTCAGAACAGTATGGTCGTTTACATGACACTTAGTGGCCATCTGTATGGGTACTTCTCACTCATGTTAGGCTGCATTTAAAATGTTTGCATCTGCCTTGTAAAAAACTAACTCCTGAAGTGGGTAGTTGGGTTTGGGTTTTTTTTAATGGGCAAATAAAATATGATTCTGTACCATTAAAATGATTTCTGTATTTACATTTTTCTAATTGCTGTGGTGTTCATTTGTCAACACACAAGTGAATTTCCACGGCCCTTAGGCAGAAAGGATTTGGATATAACTGCACACTGACAGATAGATCAGCTTAACTCTTTTGTTATAGATTGGCAGTCTCCAACCTTTTTAAGCACAAGATCACTTTTTGAATTAAAGTGCAACCCCAGGATCTAACCTCCAGACCAGGCTGATACCACCATAGGTAGAGGGAGAAAAAATTATTTGGGGGGAGCAGAGTGCACATATGCACGCATGCACCCCACTATGCCCTGCCCTGCCCAGCAGGTAAGTCTGTGGGGGAGGGGGCAGAGGGAGGGGATAGGGCCATTGTAGGAGGGGCGCAGATCAAGGGCCCCCATGGTAAGGGAGGAAGGGAGTGGGGTAGAGTCAGGGTCAGGTGCTGCAGTGAATGGGGCCCAGGCTGGGCCATGTGGTGGGACAATTGGAGCCTGGGTGGCTTGTCCAGGGGTGCCGGGGGGCTCCTGCCACTATGCATGCTCTGGGGGAGGCCAGGAGGACATGTGCCCCCCTTCCCCCAATATGTGCACAGGGCGGAGGTGGCTGCCACTGCGCATTGTGCTTTCAGCCCCACTGCTCCAGGAGCAGTGCAATGCCATGTGCATCCTGCCACTAGGTGGGCAGGGGGTGCAGCGCGGCGCAGCCCAGTGGTGGCAGGCACATGGCGTCTTGCCACTCCTGGGCCAGCTGCAGCAGGGCACAGAGCCCAGCACGGAGTGGCAGCTGCCTCCACCCTGTGCATAGATCAGGGGGGCACGTGCCCTCTGGCCCTCTGCCAAGGTGCGCACAGCGGCAGG